GATGGGTTAAAAAGACCTTCACTTAAATTCCTCTTTGACTCTCTCCCACTTCTCCACACCAGCATCAGCACCACGCATTAAAGATTCAGGGTATCTTTTTGACGTAAATTCAAAGAGTAGCCATTTAATCAACAGACTAAAAATCCTACATTCCATAAGTCTCCTTAAAATTAGCTACCAAGTATAATTACCATGAAATCATTTCTTTTTAATCTTTTAAAGATATTCATTATGATTAAAAGATCACTCAAGAAAGCCTTTTTTTAAAACAGGCTCTCTTCCACGAACTGATATAAGGTAGCTTTCTACAGATTTTACTGGTGTCCCCTTTACTTACTGTTATTTAATAAGCCTCATTTAATATTCCTGACTTCTCTCTTCATGTGAACACTTCAGGAACCAAGAAACTGTTTTACACTGGAATTCTTAGTCAATGACTCTCCTGCTATAAAATGGCTGAAATATATTCCTGATATTACCAGGGGAAAAAAATCTATTTAATTTTGTTTCTGTACGTAAGTAATCTAATCTTATCTAGTAATGCTGCTCCAGAAGAGAAAAGTATTCTATGTTTTAAGTATTATTTGAACCATCAAAATTATAAATTAAGAAAGTAAGTTCATTAGGTTACAGTTATTTATTTTAAAGCTCATAGACTGATTACAACACAAAGGAAATGTAGGAGAATTCATCCCCTCTGAGAGCTGGAGGGGCCCAGCTCCCCACATGTCAACTTTTAGAAACCAAAAATCCTTAAAAGGAGGCCCCTAATTTATGCCATTTAATACTTACATTTCCTTATATTTTCTCTATCTTCTCTAAGCCTGTATTACTTTCATACAAATACATATTAAGCATTACATAAAACTCATTCTTTTTGGAAACTTTTCAACACAGCACAGACTGCATTATACTGAGTACTCTAACTAAATGTGAAAGCCTGAGACAACTGCCATTAAAACACTTATTAGATTCACACGTTTTTCATAATGTTACACATGGCTTAAGCTATACATTTCTATATTGTCTCCTATTTCAGATATTTATCCTGGATTCAAGATTCTACATGAAAAAAAAACAAACATATACATTCATAACTTCACCCCCTAGCTTATTTCTGGGACCATCATAAGCAAAATTGGCATATTTCATACAAAAAGGACTCAGGCCAGTAATTCATATTATATCAAAGAAGCTTTTTAGAAAATGACTCAAATGCATAAAGTCAAAAATTTACACACCACTATGGTCCAGCAATTCCACTGCTGGGAACATATTCCACAAAATCACAAAAATACTAAAAATGTAAAAGGGAGGTTAATATACCACTGTTCTTATAAGTAAAAATTTAAAATACCCTAAATGTCCACCAGTAGAGGAATAAATTGTTACCACCACACTGTAGAAAGTTACATTTATGTGCACTAATATATAACAATCCCAGATATCAACAGGTGGGAAAAAAAAATCAAAAGAGACTATCTGTCTTGGAGGAAGTACAGCGGAATGCTCCTTAGAAGTGAGAATGGCCAGACTTCATCTCTCGTACTTGGGTCATGTTGTCAGAAGGGACCAATCCCTGCAGAAGGGTGTCACGCTTGGTAACATAAAGGGTCCGTGTAAAGGGGGAAGACTCTCAATGAGATGGATTGACACAGCAGCTGTAACAACGGGCTCAAACACAGTAATGACTGTGAGGAGGCACAGGCCTAAGCAATGCTTTGTTTTGTTGTACGTAGGTCACTATGAGTCAGAACCGACATTACAGCTACTAATGACAACTAACAATATTATATACTATATTTTAAAAAGCCATTTATATATATAAATGCAAAGAAAGAGGCTTGAACCTGTGCACCCAAAGTTAGTTGTTTAGCACTAAGAACTCAGTGAAATTGGGGAAATATGCGGGAGCTCTCACGGCACAGTGGTTAAGCACTTGGCCGCTAACTAAAAGGTTGGCTGTTGGAAGCCACCCGCTGCTCTGCAGTAGAAAGAGGTGGCAGTCTGTGTCCGTACAGACTACAGCCTGGGAAATCCTCTAGGCAGTTCTACTCTGTTCTGTGTGGTCTCTGTGAGTCAGAATCAACTCAAAGGCAGTGGATTTAGTTTGGGTTGGGGAAGGAGGGGAATACCACATTTCTATTCTATAGACTTCTGTATTTGAACTTTGACAAGAATATACTCAGGTTTTATTTATTGTAATTTTTAAAATGTATCACACTTCTATTCTATATACTTCTGTGTCTGAACTTTGACAAGAATACATGCACGTTTCATTTACTATAGTTTTTAAAAGTGAAATTAAGCAGAAATTATACTCAAAGTAATTTAAGAAAAAGTTCTACTTTAAAAATCCTTAAAAACAAAAAAAAGCCCAGCTAAGTTTTTACTTAATAATAAAACCTGCCACAAAGATCCACCCCATGATTATAGAAAGCAAGAGTGAGAAACTACAGCCCAGGCACCAAATCTGGCCTTGCCATTCTGTTTTTGCATAGCGTTCACTCTCAAGCTAAGAGTGATTTTTACATTTTTAAATAACTGAAAAAAATCAGAATATATTCATGCCATATGAAAATTATATAAAATTTAAATTTTAATGTCCATAAAAATCAGTAAAAGCTTTATGGGAAAACAGCCAGACTCATTCATTTACATATTGCCTTTGGCAGAGGTGAGTCACTGTGACAGATTACATGGTCCAAAAAGCTAAAAATACTTACTATCTGGCATGTAAAAATATGTCAACCAGTTTCAAAAAGTAATACATTATCATTATCAACTTTATGGAGAAATGTTCATAGGCCCATCCTAACAGTTTTGAGGAACTGACTCTCAAAATATTGCCTTTTCTCTTTCAGCAGACCAGTCAGCACTGGTATTTTTTCAGGAAGACTCAACAGACACACCAACCTATCCCTGCATGTCCAAAAAACATAATTTTTAAATGATTTCCAGTCAAGCGTGACTTTGGGGGAAGGGCAGGGGAGGTTGCCCTGTGCAGCAACCCCAGCACAGTCCCAGTCAGTGGAAGAGGTTTACCTGAGTAAATACTCTGCATAGACAACAGGCTCCGGCAAAATCTGCTCTAAAAATTCTTCACCTTCGTCTCCTTTTGATTTCAAATATTCACAAAGGACATGCCAATACAGTGCAATTTCAGGAGTCAATGTTTCCACTGGAATTAATTTCCTATATTTGAAAGGGAAAGAATGAAAGAAGGCATGATCTCAACATCCAGTTGAAAATAAGCAACAGACCTGATTTGTAGTCACCATTCCTTCTAAACTGTAAAGCCATCTACTTATCTACACAAAAGGAAATGAAGAAACTCAGACCCCCAAAAAATAATCAAATGAGCAAACATGTAATAGGGACAAATGTTGGATTCTCCCATCAAGGAACGTAAAAATCAAAGTAACAGAATGGGAGTAAAAAATCACAGGTAACATAGTCTACGATCAAGTAACTAGCTCTTCTATCAGGAAAAGAAAACAAACAGGAGCACAAAGTGTTCATCAGGGGAAAGAAAATACAAGAGGGGTATATAAAAGGTATTAAGATTGTCTGAGGTTACGAAGGAAAATAGACCGATTTTAACTGGAAATGTTCATCACTATCACATTTCCAGTAACGAGTGCTTTACATACCTGGTGTCACTGCTTGTACAGGTCCCCACCAGTTCACTAAGAGGAGTCATTGAAAATAAGGCATGGAGAACAGAGACTGCCACTTCAGATGAATTTTCCACATCCAACCGATGAAGCAACGCTAAAATATCTCCTTCAGTGAAACGCAACCAGCCTTGGAGAAGATGCTTCTCAGTTGCTTGTTTCACTGCAGCTGTCAAAGTCATTTGAAACAGGTCAATAGTCTCCCTCCAGCTTTCATTTCCCACATTTTGCCTGTTATAATTAACTTTTATGGATCAATGTTAACATAAAGTTCATAGTTACCAAAAAAAAAATAATAATAATAAAGTAGGGATTAAGAGGTAGAACAAAGCATACTAGTGAAATAAAACCACAATGATATTGGAAAAGTCACTATGGTGCTCATTTCAGAACCCAATGCCCAACCACAACTACAGCCTATAACACTATCTCCACCCCCGGGCTCACTGGGCTTCAGGTGTTAGTCCGGATTATACTGTTGCTATTCTGAGGGGAAAAAAAAAAAACACCTCACTACCAAAAGTTGATTCCAACTCATAGCGACCCTACAGGACAGGACAGAACTGCCCCATAGAGACCTTATTATTATTATTATTATTATTATTATTATTATTATTGTGATTTGGGTGAAAATTTACAGAGCAAATTCACTTTCCATACAGCAGTTCACATAC